CTATCTAACAGCCAAGACCAGTGCTAAGAAACCTGGGGGAGCAGATGTTTTTCCTCAGGCCACTACCACCTTCGCTTGTTTTTGCCTTTACCCAATTCAAGTGCCCCCTTATCCTTGGTTTCAATCTTTCTGTTCTGCTTTAAGAGTAAAACCACATTTTCTCAGTGGAAGATATTTGCTGTTAGGAAGAAATTTGTTTTATTAAGTGCTAATTATATAAGTGATTATTTGTGATGAGTGCTAAGGCTTGCTTTTTAAAAGACTACCTCTGAAAGAATTACTTGTCTGGATTAATAAATGAATTATCCAGGATAGCAGGCAAGTGGTAGATATATTTAGTTGGAAGAAAGGCTTTCCATTTACTTGAAAAATATATTTAATTTGCTAAGACTATGTGGCTTATGGGAGTCAAGCTAATGTTGATCAGATAAGATTTCTTAGAACAGATAAAATTTATGAGCAAAGTTAATATAATGATATTATTTGAATGAGAGATAATAGGAATAACACATTCCAGGATGAGGTGCTAATCGCATCTTGGGTTAACATTTTGTTTAGTCAAAAATGTATTGAGGCCTGCGATGTGCCTGAGGAGGCATGAGTGGTTTAAACTGAGCCATGTCCTCACACTGGTCACAGTTTGTGACTTTGATTCTAGGTCACTGGTTCTCAATCTGACTTTACAGCAAAATCACCTGAGGAGTGGTTATAGAACAGAGGTGGCAGGTGACCAGCCCCAGAAATTCTGAATAATTAAGTGCAGGGATTAATCTCCACATACTATAATTATTAAAATACAAGAAAAATTATATTCTCCTCAAAATATGTCCTTTTGGGGATATGATTTTCAATTAATGTCAGAATTAATATGGTAAGAAAAACTCTAGCTAATGGCACAAAATCAAAATCTTTTTAGCCTCACATTGAGTGCCATCAACAGAAGGTGCAACTGTAACATAAGGAATGGTTCCCAATATCCAGTGCTCTTCACAGTTAACTGTGCAGCTTAGCCCAATGTTCAAAGAGTTTGGAACCAGGAATCTATATTTTTATTATTTTAAAAAGATATTTATTTATGTATTTAATTTTAAAATTATGTATTTCATTTTAAAATTATTCAATATTGCCGAAACCGGTTTGGTTCAGTGGATAGAGCGTCGGCCTGCGGACTGAAAGGGCATATGCCTGGTTGTGGGCTCGATCCCCAGTAGGGCGTGTGCACCAGTGGGAGATGTGCAGGAGGCAGCTGATCGATGTTTCTAACTCTCTATCTCTCTCCCTTCCTCTCTGAAATCAATAAAAATACATTTTAAAAAAATTATTCAATATTGTATTAGTTTCACATGTATGGCATAGTGGTTAAACATTTACATAATGTATGAAGTGATCCCCTCATACGTCTTGCACCCTTCTGATACTATATACAGTTATTACACTATTATTGACTATATTCCTTAAGCTGTACTTTACATCTCTATGACTATTTTGTAGCTACCAATTTGTACTTCTAATCCCTTCTCCTTTTTCATCCAGCCCCTTAATACCCTTCCCATCTGGCAAGCATCAGTTTGTTTTCTGTATCTATGAGTTTGTTTCTGTTTTGTTTGTTTGTTTATTTTGTTTTTCAGATTTAGCATATAAGTGAAATCTTATTGTTTTGGGTATATATGAAGCACATGGTAACCACAAACCAAAAATCTACAAGAGATATACAAGAAATACACAGAAAGGAAAGGAATCCAAACGTGAAACAGAAAGTCACAACCTATAAGATAAGAGAGCAAGGGAATAAGAAGGGAACACAGAAAGAAAAACAATCAAAACAATTAAAAATGGCAATAATTACTTACCAATCAATACAAATTAGTTTAAATGTAGGTAGATTGAATGCTCCAATAAAAAAAAAAGATGAATAGATAAAGAAAAGGTGGTATATAGCTATACAAAGGAATATTATTTGGCCCTTAAGAAAGAGTGAAATCTTACCACTTGTGACAATGTGGATGAATGTAGAGGGTATTATACTAAGTGGAATAAGTCAGACAGAGAAAGGAATCAGCATCTTTAAAAATGCCACAGGCGATTATGGTTTTCACTCACAGTGGAGATTTTCTCAGTGACAGTCATTGCTTGCATGTGAAAGAGGTAGTTAGGTTAACAGGTGGCCTTACCATGGGCACACACCAAAACAGATGCAGGCTATTAAAAATCATAGGTGGATCCACAGAAAGTCATTCCCTCACATTCTGCCTTCAGCAGCCATCATTAGTAATCAAAACTTTTAAGTTAGGCTTTTGTTTTATTCAAGAGAAATTCCTGCCACATGGAAGGGTAGTTGGGGAACCCTGGAAGACCACACAATTGCTTAACCATGGCCTGATCATTTGTTTATTAGTAAGGCTAGCCAAGGGCACATCAATTGCATCCTTGATTGCCCTCTGATAGTGGGAAAAATAGTAGGCAGGCATGGTCCTGGGCCCCTTTCCCAGTAATTCCCATCTATTGGAGATTCCTACAGATGCAAACCCTCCTTTTCTGTGGACCAGGGAGGTAAACTGAGGAGCCAAACATTGAGTGAAATAAAATAATGAATCTATAGTTTCTGATTTCTCCCAATGAGCAAACGGAGACCCACAGCGTTTGACTGACCACTGGAAGCGAACTTAGATGGGGTCTTCTGCTCCAAGGTATTAACCCAGGTATTATTTTAACTGCAGACTTGAAAGGGTTACAAGGGTTTAACATAGAAGAAACCCTTGATACAATTGAAATGACTAAACTCAGAAACTTCCCCCCCGTAACACAAGTGACAAAAAACAGACAAGCAGACACAGATCAGATGAAAGTGATTTTCTCATAGGCCATGGCCTTCCTGTCTTTCTGTCTTACTAGCATATAAGCAATTGTCATTTTCAAAGGAAAAAGAGAAGTGTAGTTTCTCCTCGAGAAGCAGTCTAAACTAGTGGCTAGGAGTCCAGGCTTTGGAGCAAGCCTTCCTGGATTTGAGTCCTGGCCTCATTAGCTGTGTGCTGTTCAGCATGTTACGTCATCTCTCTGTGCTTCAGGTTCATTACACCTTATACATTTGCACATGCATGCACACACCTGCCTTTAAGGCATGATACTAATCAATGATTTAATGCATGCAAACAACTTGGGAAATTGTCTGATAAATTGTAAGCACTCAATAAAAGTTGTTATTATGATCCTAATGATACAAATGTTATTAATGAGCCATGTCATCTTTGCTGCTTATATTTCTTCTATTACAGTGAGATACCTTGAGATATATTTGGCCATCCCCGTGCCACAGAAGGGTTTCTAAACTGAATTAATCCTACCTGTTCTAGTGATGTTTACTTTGACCTCCTGTTAAATGATAAAAATATTATGCAGTTAAAAACCTTCCTTGTGCAATCACATTGATTCCAACTTATGTTCAGCATGAAGGGACAGATAGCATGTTTGTGTAATAACCTCCCGGAACAGTTATTATTATCCACAATATTGTGGGTCATATCCCAGTTGCTTTTTAATTCATTTACCATGTGATGGCTTTGCAATCAGAAAATAATGATGGTTGACAGCAAGAAAAGTAAGTTAGTACATGCTAATATGAAAAGTGGGTAAGATTTATATTGCACTCTATTGAAAATGGGCAGAGTATATAGTTATGAGTATGTAAAATAAATTGAAACTTTGCACTATGTTCAGCATCTAAGATGTGTTTAAAGTCTGAAAAAAAAGGTTAAACACTTTCACTGGAAGCATGGAGTATAATAGGTATTCTGGAGGAGAAAGTTGCTAAGATTTCTTCCCTGGTGATTTATCAGTGTCTTTTGGGGATCCCATGGATAGAGAAAATGTGTCATGGAGAGGCCCTAATCAGAAGTGGGAAGTTTATTCTTGGCACCTGAGAAGAAGACTTTGGGTGAGATCATTAAATGAGCTCTGTTAGCAAGAATGGGGACAGAGGGTCATAGAGCAGCCTTCATTTTGTTACTCCCAAGACACCATCACCTGCTGAGACTCCTATCTTTGAAAGCTCTTCCTCTTTTTTTCTTAATTTATTTTGGGACCATGGTTGTCTTTGAAAATCTGATAGAAATTAGAAATATTCCTCCCAGAAAATGTGTGTACGCGAGCACACACACACATGCTGCTTATATTAATTTGTGCTTTTCATAGATGTTCTCATGTAAAGCATTTCCTTCTTAATTGAGTGATTTTATATTATCTTCAGTGAACAAATCAATTAACTTTTGAAAATAGATTTGACCACTTAGTCTCCTTTTAAAAAATGTGTTGTTTAAAATCCTGACTTGTAACTCTCTCAAAAGATTTTAGAGCATTCAGTTTTTGTGTTGTTTTTTTTTCTATGATCAGCAGTTTCAAACATCTTTATAGATGTTCCTGAAACACTTAATTTCTGAGGAATTTTTATTTCTGTCTGATAGGAAAGTGCAGTAGGCATGGATGTATGTCTTCTTAGAAGTATTTTATTATAATTTTATGAGGAACTAAAAAAAAGACTGTAATGTTATTCCCATATTGGTTTATATTAAATAAACATTGATATCCCACAGAGTCTTCATCATAATTCAGACTCTAACCTCAAAATATACTGTTTTGGGAGAAATAAATGTACAAATGTACTGAGTTACTGTAGCCACAGAGGAGAAATTTTAAAAAATATGGGAGAGAAAAGCCTTTTAGAACTCACGCTCAATGGAGACATAAACAGCAATATTAATAAGTTCATCCATACATTTCTATGTCTGTACCTTATACTTTAAAGTGGGCAAGAAACTTTCTGAATATTTGATGTAAGAATTTGGCTTGAAAAAGTTTGGCAACTAATGTAAAGCTAGCCTAATAGCATCTTTTAATCCTTAAGAGTAAAATCCTTAGAAAAGTTGATAATAGTTTCTAGAAGATTGTAGTAATAATTTACCATCTTATTTTGTATTTTGATTCCAATCAACACAGACCAAGGGCAGTCAAGTTTATAATAATTTATTATGGTTGCATATCATTTGTCATATATAATAAATTATAGAAACTATAGCATCTTTATAAACTATTTAGTATACCATATTCACTTCCTAATGCTCAATGCAGTAACTGTAAGACATTTAATTAGATTATAGTTTAGCATTAGTTAGAAGATAAAAAAAATATACATTTTTTCACAGTACTTGGAATTTCTGAAGGGCCCATTATTCCAACTTTTGTGCAACCACTCTGAAATGCATAAAAACTTCTATAAACCAGAAGGTGGCGTATGGTTTTGCTGAGCTGCTGAAGGTACTGCAGCTCCTTGACTTTGCACTTACACCCATGTGGCGTACTTTTCAGGCACTGTAATAAATGCAAATAAATAATCACTTACTGATCTCTAAAAATCTATACCAATAGGCCACATTGAAGCTTGGAAACATCTTGAGAATTCAAATAAAAAATTCAGTAAACAATTGTAGCATGAAACTCTCTCTCTCCCTATTCTCCCTTCCCTCTCCCCCCTCCCTCCTCTTTCCCCTTGCCCAGTTTGCTTAAGGAAACAAACAAACAAAAAGTTCAGGTGGAATTTAAGTCCTAGGGCCTGACAAAGAGACCCTGGCTGCAGTTCTTCCTCAGCCATCTGTTTTCTTCAGTTTCATCTCTCCTTACATCTGTCCAGACCTCTCCTGACACCAGCATCAGTCCTTTTGGGCCAGGAGAGTTTTCCAGTCCTTGCTGAAGGCGGCTCGTTCTCCACTGTCACAGCACAGGCGTGAAAGTGGTTGGAGTCCTGTCACCAGTTTGCTCTGTTCCTTTCCAGCCTCCGGAGTCCTGGCGGAGGCGAAGCTTGCAAGGAGCAACACAGCGCTGCGTGTTAGCGTCTCACAAACTCACTTGGTCTTTCAATGTCCATTCGTGGATCACGTCCTTATCCATTCTCGGCTCCTCAGTGGACTTTGATGGAATATTTCCGCAGTTTCAGAAACTGGAAAAGCTTGTCTTTGGTCCTCTTCTTCAGGGCCATCAGGGCCCGGGTTTTCTCCTCCAGATCTTGATCTATGGCCAAAATGATCTTGGCTCTCTCCTCTGCTTTCTTGTCCCCAGAGTTTTTGAAGAGCCTCTGTAGTGATTCTTCGTCGATGTTTTCAAAGATGTTGCCCACGGCTTTCTTGCGTGAGGCTGTGTCGAAGTGGTAGCCGTGGATGGACGGGCTGACTCGCAGTGAGGAGGACATGGTGCCGGCTTGGTTGCTTGGCTTTGCTCTCATAGATGGGAGGATCTTCGGGAACTCAGCGCCCAGGCTCTCCAGAGAGTCTGTAGCAAACTCATTCCAGCACTGCTATTTAAAGCATGAACAAAAGCTCCAGGCTCAAATTACACTGGTGACATCAGAGTGATCTCAAGGAAGAATAATCACAGGCAGGTTTAACAGTTGAGTTGCCAATATCCAGTTCTTGTGCAAAATGTTTCCGAAAGCTGTGTTCCCCGGATGGGGCGTGGAAGTGGCGGATGTTTTGTTGTTGTTGTTTTTTACCTCATCTGTGTCAATAGGATTAAGAGACGTGGGCTCTTCTTAAAAAAAAAAAAAAAGAAAAATTGCTGAAACCAGGAAAGTGCAAAGATAAGACACAAACCTGGGTGCCTTAAGCTCTCAAAATCTTTCCTAACAACCGAAACAAAAGTTCTGCTAACACAGGAAAGTGTTAGCAGAAGCATTCCCAGAGACGTTATGAAAGTGTACTCCAAACATCTGTGGCCTTTGGACACCTCTATCCAGGGCCACTCCTAAGCTGCTCAAAGATAGCTTAACAATTAAGGACATCCATTTGGAATAAAAAGGTCCGATTGCAGAATGGGAGTTTACCTACAAAGCGCTGACAGGACACTTGCCTGGAGCTGTGACCTTTCAGAGACTGTACTCACTGAAGAAAAGTGTAAATTAATAATAATAGACAATATCCCTTAGGTTTGTATATATATCAACAATATGTCTACTTTAAACAAGTGGGAAAGGTAACAGGTGCTTTATGTATACAGTACTCAAAAGGAATGATTTGACTTTTTTTTAATATGTATTTTGGCATCACCCAGACATAAAACGACACCTTCTTTGGAAGAATTTGAATTTGTTCTTTTCACCTTCCACAATATTCAGCCAGCCAGTGTCCCCACAGATGTATGGAGCACTTACATTCAGCCAACTGCTTTCCTCAACCTCAAAGGGCCCCAGAAACTTCTCTTTACGGACCTTCTGCCTGGTCCATGTTCTAATACTCCAAGAAGATGGGCTGGTTTTCATTTTCCTCTCATCTAGACAAATCAGATCTAATGTAGGGAAGGTGCCACCCTTCATATATATTCATTCAATCATTTATTCATACACTCACTCATTTATTTAATCAATATCTATTAAAGGTCTACCTTTACCTACAACTTTTCTAGGCATTGGGAATATAACACTAAACCAAACTAAACCAAATAAATAAAATGACACAGCAAAAAAATCCCTACCTTGCCTTAATGGAGTTTAAAATCTACCTAAATAGATAATCGAAAGATGTACGTTTATAATATAGATGATGTCAGGAAGTAACAAATGAGTAGATTTGTATAGGAGAGGAAGGGAGGGGTTGAGATTTGCATAGGATATTTAGAGCCAGCTTCTCAATGGGATATTGTGCAAGAATTCGAAAGAAGTAAGGGAGTGAGCTGTGTAGGCATCTGGAGGAAGGGTGTTGGAGGTAGAGGAAACAGCAAGTGCAGAGGTCTGAAGATAAGAGTGTCGTGGAATATATAAAGAACATCCAGGAGACCAGTGTGGTTGGGCCAGAGAAGAGTGGATGGAGGAGAGGAGGGGGTGAGAAGGCAGAGGCAAGAGTATAAGCTCGTAGTCTTTTTCATGAATTTAGCATTTATTTACTCTGTAAGAGATAGGCAGCCTTTGGAGAACTTGGAGCAGAGAAATTACAGGATTTTAATTATAATTAAAAAAAATAACTGACTTTTCTTTGTGGAGAATAGATTTGTAGGAAGACAATAAGGACACGGGGAGCAAAAGGACTAGTTGGGACACTTCCCAAAATGAGCCAGGCAAGAGATGATGAAGGCCTCCACTGGGGAAGTCCTTGTGCAGGCGGTGATAACTGATGAAGGTTAAGTCAGAAGGGTTGCTGAAGACTCCAGTGTGAAGAATGAAACACAGACACGAGCCCAGGACGATCTCTTCCTGAAGGATGCTTCCCTGAAGGACATTTCCAGGTGGGCTTATATTCATCACATCAACCATGGCAGCTGATGCTTGTTCCAGGCTTTCCATGGACCAACCCTATGTTCTGCTGCCTCTGACTGTAGGTTTATTGGCATATGAAGCACACCTCTCCATCACTGAATACAAAAAGTACTTTTATGGTAATAAGGATTTTTACTGTTTTTAGTAAGTGCCAAGAAATTTACATAACCCATCTGAATTGTTGCCACACTCAAGGCTTCATCAAACTTCTCATGCTCTGCTCTTTCTTGAGCTGATTCTTAGTTTTTTATCTCCTACTAGAGGCCTGGTGCATGAAATTTGTGCATTCAGGGAGTGTCCATCTGCCTGGCCTGTACCCTCTCCAATCTGGGACCCCTTGGGGGAAGTTTGACTGCTGGTTTAGGCCCAATCCCACAGAGGTTGGGCTCCTAACCGCTCGCCTGCCTGCCAGCCTGATCACCCCCTAACCATTCCCCTGCTGGCCTGATTGATGCCTAACTGGTGATCTCCATTTTGGAGTTTGCATCCTGGAGATTCCAGTCTATGACATCCCAACTTCTTTCACCTGGACTAAGACCATTCTGTACACAGCATCCAGAGCAAAGGTTTTTAATAAGCAATCTGATCAGACTAATCATGCTATTATGTTTAGGATAAGCTCCAAAATCTTAACATAGTCTTTTTTTTTAATCCTCACCTGAGGATATTTTCCCATTGATTTTTAAAGAGAGTGAAAGAGAGAAGGAAAGACAGAGAGAAATATCAATGTGAGAGAGAAACATCCATTGGTTGCCTCCTGCATGAGCCCCAGCCCAAGACTAAGGCCCAGGCCAGGGAGGAGCCTGCAATGCAGGTACATGCCCTTGACCAGAATTGAACCCAGGACCAGCTAGGGCTTAACATAACCTTTTTGAGCATGACACTGCTCTGGTCACTGACTACTTCTGTAGCATCCTAATTTGCCACTCTTTCTCCATACCTATATGTCTTCCATTTCCTTGAATGTAACATGATCATTCCTCTCCTGGGTCTTTGCATATATTTTTCTTTTTCTGGAATGTTCTCTACTTCTTATCTCAGCTAGGTAACTTTTATTTATCATAAAATGTCAACTAAAAGCTACTTGCTCAGAGGACTGACTTCCCTGATCCTTCTAAACTAGGTCGAGTTTCCTTGCCAACATACCATTTACTAGGTCTTAGTAGCACTTATTACAGATTTCAAACATACATTTATATTTATGATTACTTAAAATCTGTCTCCACCAAGAGTAGGTATCAGATCTACTTTTCTCATAAATGTGTCTAAAGCTCTGAATCACTTAACACTTGGAGTGCGGGTGAATTTCCCGCCAAAATATAAGATGGCTCTGTCTTTTGGTTTTGTTCCATCCACCAAAAGGGTGGATTACAAACAAATATTTGGTAATACGCAGTTACAATCGGCCCGAGTTTACACGTTTCCCGTACTCCACCGCAAATCTATATGAACCGAGTTAAAGACGGCTCCCGCGGAGTACGCGCAATTCACGCGAGCCGACTTAACTCGTTTCCCGCACTCCAAGTGTATGTTTCATAATAGTCTTAAGTAGCAATGTATATGATTCTATTTAATTCTCATAGCAACCTATAAGGTAGGAACTCCTATAATCCTCATGTTACAGATAAGAAATTTGAAGCAATGACAGTTTACTCCCTAAAATGTCCATTTTCTAATACCTGGAATAAACCTATAAAATAGGCAAGAAGGAACCTTATACTGCAAAAGGAACTTATGGGGCAAAGGAATTTTGCAGGTGTAAATAAGTTAAAAATATGAGATGTGAAGATTATCTTGGCTTATCTGGTTTGGCCCATATAACATAAGAGTCCTTATAAGAGAAAGGCAGGAAGTCAGAGGGAAAGAAGATGCTCAACGGCTGGATTTAAAAATGAAGGAAGAAGCCAAAAGCCAAGGAATGTGGACAACCTAGAGGCTAGAAAAGGCAAATAAACAAATTCTCCCATTGATCCTTCAGAAGAAACATATCACTGCAGACCCTTTTATACATCTGGCTTCCTGAACTGTAAGATAATGAATTGTGTTGTTTTAAGCCACTAAGTTTGTGGCCATTTGCTACACCGCCAATAAGAACCTAAAGCACTCTGCAAATCCTTCAGCTACAATAAGACAATTTGAACCAAGGACTATCTGATTCCAAAGCCCATGATTTTAAACTCTATGCTGTATTGCTCTCAAATCAACTGCAAGCTCTATTTTTCAAAAAGTCTGAATAATCCTTCTACATGTCATTGAGCAGCTCTCTGTGAGTACTGCCTAAATGACTTCAGATGAATTTTAGAGATTAAGAAACTTCAAAATTGTTTAGAGGGCAAGACCACCCACAGGAAAAGAATGTTTGTTTCTGTTTCCCAGAAATGCAACATAAACCCTAAGGTTACCATTTGCGGATGCTCTTTGCCAAAGGTGACGCCACATGTGCTTGAAAAGCATTTAATTGCTGTCACTCTATTCTTTCCCTTCTTTGTACACATATTTCCAGTGAAGAATGTGGACAACAGGATCTAGAAGACTTCTAGAAAGAATTCACAAATTGCATGTAGACAGGATCATATCAAAAAAGGCACCTTATAGAGTTTTTGCTTTTCTGTAGTAAAGACAGAAAATAATGAAGGCTGTTCAAAAGAGGCAGCTTCTGGGTATTTTCTTCTGGGCACTGGTTTTCAAAAAGTATTGTTTCATTACACAAAGAGGTTGACTGTCTTCCAGTAGTAAATGTGCTTGGTTAGGCTTGTGTCTGATGAATAGATTTGAGAAAACAAAGGGAAGGAAGAGAACAAACATTTATTAACTGACTTGTAAACTTAATTTTCATCATCAACTATCTAAATTGCTCTCACAACTATACTGGAGATAGATAACATTGACCTCAATTTTGACCATAAACAAAGAATTGGTCTAAACAACCTGACCAAGATAAGTGGTGAAAAATGAATTCATTTTTAATTTTTTTTTAATCTCTCAAATCATCCCTGGGAAGATTTTTCTGACCTCTGATGAGTTACTTGGTTCTCCTGTTTGCAT